TACCATCTACTGTCCCTTAGTATATTGTAAATGAAAAATGTAGCTGTGCTGAGTGCAGTGTATATCATGGGACACTAATTGCAATAAAAATAAATTTAATGTTAATGCTAATGTTAGACGGTGTGAATTTCAATATAAAATTTAAAAAAATTGAATTCAAAAATAATGATAATGAGTTCAATAGTAATGGTATATTTGAATGATATAGTTTTAATYATTCAATGTAGTTTATTTAGTAATCATAGAAGACTGATTTGTAATAGTTCTTAAATAAACTTCAGGATTAAGAATAATAGAACCGCGTCGCGGTGTTTGTACYAATAATACCTCAGGTTACTTAAGAAATAAAGATCTTTTGCACGKGATAAAATTACATCCACAAAACAAAATTCGAAAGTGAGATTTATGTATGAAAGTTGTGGCCTGCGATTAYCGATACCAGCGGTTAACCACTAAAGCGTGTCAGAATGTAATATGCCCACCTGTGATACAGACTATTGACTTATAAAAGTACCTCATTTGCAATGGAAATTCATATCAACTCTGCATGAAATCTTTTGTCAACACAACATAACACAAAATACAAGTAAATTATCCTTGAAATACGTTTCGATTCACCGGAAAGAGAGTGTTGGTTAAGTRGATGTTATGCCAAAAAATGCGCCGGACATTGAGAAATATACATGATGGCCCTTATCAAGAAATGAATGCTTTTTTAACCGATTCAAGTTTAAACATCGGTAGGATTTAATGAACAGCCATGACAGACCAAGAGAATTATACTACAGATGAGGAAACAGTCAACGGAAGCACTAGCGATACAGACATACAAGCTCCTATTGTCGGTTATGAAGTAGTGGAAGCAAGAAAACGTTTTACCGTCTACCAAATCAGCGTTAACTTGAGCGATGGAAGAACCTGGTTCGTTTTTCGCAGGTATTCAGACTTTGCTCAATTAGATGAGAACTTAAGAAAGATTTACAGCGAAGATCTTCTGGATCTTGAGCTTCCACCGAAAAGATACCTTGGGGATAACTTCAGTGATGTTTTTATAGAAATGAGAAAACGTAGCCTGCAAAAATACTTAAATAAGATTTTAGAAAAACAGGATTTAAGTTGGACACAGCCTGTYGTTGAGTTTTTATGTCTTGACGATCCACCGGGTCCTTACGATAGCTTAGAAGAAAGCCGAGCTTTTATTGGAAGCTTGGAAGAAACGGTTACTGGAATGAAACAGAAATACCAAGAGATCGATTCTGAACTGAAGATGGCCAAGGCGCAGCTTAGATCAACGTTATCTCATAAAAAGGCTTTGCTTGTCGCTTTACGCGCAGAGCGAGTACTAAATGGCAAACCAGCACATGATAATGATGACATCGCTTTAATTTCCGAGTACATTGGACATCCTGCTGTTGGTAATATCGACTTCAAAACTTTTGCAAAGGAAGATGAACAACAGCAACAGTCCTCGACGACTAGAAATCATATGTACAAATCACATGCCGCAAGTCAGTTGGATTTGACAATCGCCTCGAGAAAAAACTCGTCTTCATCAGAGGGCAGCTCAAGGCGGGCGAGATCTGTTTCTGATTTACCCGATTCTTCTCAAAGACGAAGATCGTCGAACCGACATCTACCYTCAAATAATCGAAGGGGTTTATCGGTTGTCGATAAGTTTATGCGACAAAGTACGGATGCTTTGGAGCAGATACGACAGACTGTGCGACAGAAACTTGGTCGATGGGAGGACGAGGGTGTAGATACACCGCAAAATCGAACTGTTCCTTGACGATAAAATCATCGAAAAACACCATAGATGAAATCTTATACCAGTACTTCGACCATTACTGAAAATATTCAAGTTATAACTCAAATGAAATGGAAAAGAATATTGAAAGTAAAATCAGAAATATCATTTTCTCGTTCAAAATAATTTTACTTTTCACTGCACATTTATTGTGCCATTTATAGCACCCAGGACTGTTTGGAGTCTTTTCTAGGGTAAAAAATACCTATTAAGACTTATCTTTCAAGGGCCATTCCAGGGCTTTCCAAGTTTTAGTATAAGGCTCAAAATCTTACATAGTTGAAAGTGAAAGTGGTTATTAGAATTCTGCCAATGCAGCGATATGAATTTTTAATAAACGGTACAAAAAGCTAGACAGCGCAATAAATATAATGTACCGTGGCACAAGATAATATATAGTTGAAAATATCTTCTCTATTCACCATTTGATGCTCCAATAAGCAGTGTTTTGTCGACCCAACAGGTTGTTTACTTAACTAACAAAAGATCTTGACACTAAGTCAACACGACAAAGTCATTAAAAATCATTGTCAAGTCTACTAAATAGTGGTATAGGATATTTCATAGTAAATATGATTAATAATATTAAAATTTGATTGTTATTGTCTTATAATTTAGAACAAATTTAACATAAAAGAAGGAAAATTAAATCAAAGATATTTTATTATTAATAGAAATGAATTGATTTGTATGATTGGCACTTGAAAAAGTTTCAAAAATAAAAAGAAACATGGTTGAATATGTCGTGATATATCATATAAGACCAATGCATGCAATCTTCTTTGTGGTTGCGTGTTGATAGCACCCTATGATCATGTAATGGTCTACAGTCACGATACAAAGGAGACAACCAACTGGAAATTAAACAATATCATGCGAACAAAGAATACTGGCTGGGAAACGAAGTGAAATATGAGAGTAGGAAAGGATGCATGAAAAGGAACGATGACAAAAAAGGGAACAAAATGAACAAAACTAGAAAGACGACGACAACAAAACAAGACAAACAAACAAAAAACAATAAACAAACATAGAATAAAAAGCTAAAATATGCATCTTACAGAGTGTTAATTGTCAAAGCAAAAACAAGTTTAATTTATCCGATTTGCGAAATGTATCCAAAAGAGTAATGAAATAAAAATTCATTAAATATAGAGGTACATGCGTACCCCTTTCTGGACCCCACCCTGACCCATATATTAAATAGAAGAATGGTATAGAGGTACTTACTCGGTAAAATATCACCAACTTCATTTTTTGACAGCCTTGCTTTAAGGATAACAAATGTAAGTCTACCGGATGTCGGTAAATAACACAGGGATACCAACACCTCGCCAACACGTATTGGGCTATCGTCCTATAATTAGACATATAATACCATATCCTTATTACAATACCAACTGCTTATTATTCGTTATACAGAGGTGTCCGTAATGTGGAGATGTTCGTAATATAGAGGTGTTCGTAATATAGAGGTGTC